TAACTAAACAAAAAAATATATATTGCGTTAATGAACTAGAAACGATAAGACATTTTTGAAATTCTTTCTATATATATTTTTTTTATCCAATCAAATTTAGACTTACCGATAAATTCTAGATCGCTGTACCATGTAGATCATTACTTTATTTAGAATTGCCATATATGGAAAAATTCCGGACTAAAATAGGTAATCACATTATCCTTAAAAAATTACTAGATACAGTACCCGGGTACTATAATATAAGCTACATGATAATATTAATTATTTAATTTCATATTAAATGGTCATAATATTTATATTTTTAATAGAAAAATATTTCATACACTCAAAATTGATGTGGTTACTTGTTAGAACAGTACCTATGAAATGCTTCATAGATTTAAACTTATATGTCTAAAATTGATTTTCTTGTAACAGCACACAAAAATCAGCTTAATCACACTTACTCTAGTGATAATGAGTGGGAAGAATTAATACTATGATCAATCTTCTTTATCCAGTTCTTGAAGCAACAGAATATCTTTCAGGTAGCTCATATCCAATGATCTCCAATGTTCATTTGACTGTTGGCAGACTTATTTGGTATTTTGATCATTTTATTGATGATAGATCATATTTAGATAAAGAGTGTATAGTTGCAGACTCTATATGTTACAAATTAAATGAATACTGGTCTCTTTTTGATAAAAAAATTACAGTAGCTGCAATTCTTAACCTATCATTAAAACTTAAAACATTTTCATCTGAAGAAAAAATAACTGCAGCTATTACTAGTTTGTATCAAGAAATACTTCATTATAGGCTATTAACCTCAGTAGAAAATATCAACTTAATTGTCTTTAAAAATAAAAAAGCACATTTTGAATTTTTTTTTCAGAAGAACAAAAAATCGAACAACCACCAGAAGAAAAATTAGATTTATACTTTTCTTTGCCTATATGCCAAACTAATCCGCTTAGTTGGTAGTAACAAAATGAGTATAGATTTTCAACTTTAGCAGTCATAGCATGAAACTATTTAGCTATTCAGAGAACAAGTATTCCCTGTAAAGAAGCTTTTTCTGTAGTGGCAGAAACAATTACAAAAGTTTGTAGTTGTTTTCTTCCTGAAACTGCTCAGCATTGCTTTGTCTGAAAAGCCAAATGGAACAAAATATTGGAATATAAATAGAAAAAACTATTATAAATTTAGTAATGATTGATGAAGTTCTAAATTATAAAGGTAGATAGCAATATTAGCATTAGTATATGAGTACGTGAGAGTGAAACCTAGAAATGATCATAGTAAATTTTTAAATTAGCTTCCAGGTTTTCACTCTTACACAATCATATATATAATTATCAGCATTGGTATTAATTATAAGCGTATATTGATATATATAGTATAGAACAGTACAGGGCAGACTACAAGCTCTTTGGAAACCGTGAGAACTGGGTATATGGTGAGTGACCATGTAAAAGATACTAATCTGACAAGTTTGCAACCAACATCTTTAGAATCCTGCAACTTGTCAACATGCTATAACAAATTTTTATAATTTTATAAACTACCAATAATAACAACTGAAACTACAATTGCATCATTCATTCAACATCTACAACTAAATACTCCA